AAACTCACCTTTTGTGGCCCACAGAATAAAGTCATGCTGGTCTGAAATGAAATAAAACAGAGTAACTAATAAATAATAGTAAATAAATACATAATAATGAGAATATAGTCATTATGGAGCCTTTCAATATGGTAATTTCATTGACCCGTGAACATTTTATGCTTTTCAAACTATTTTATAACTGTAACAAGAGGCAATGCAATCATAACGCAATGTAAAACAGCTTTATAACATTATTCATCAATATGTGGCTCTTTTTGGATTACTGGAAGCTGGAGAAATTAAAAATGTACAACAGGACCTACGCTGGGACCATAGGTTTTGTTTACATCCCTCAAAATGGTCTATAGTACACATGATCTATTTTTTCATTACATTATTGCACATTGTTTTTAAATATGTATTGCTTTATGTAATACATTTATATTAAAATTCTTTGCAAATTTCAGTGTCATGACAACACTTCATTTTAATTTATGTGCTTTTCTTTAATCATGCAAATATTCTGCATTTATCATGTGTACACAGAAGTGAACAGTATAATATGGTCATTGGTGTCAAAAATAAAACTAAACTCATCTTTTGTGGCCCACAGAATAAAGACATGCATGTTTGAAATGAAATAAAACTGAGTAACTAATACAAAATTGTAAATAAATACATAATAAAGACAGAATATAATCATTAGACCATTTAAATTTGGTTAATGAATGTCATCCAACTATTTCAAAACTGTAACAAGAGGCAATTCAATCATAACTCAATGTTAAAACAGCTATCATAACATTATTCATCAATATGTGGCTCTATTTAGATTCTCGGAAGCTATGGAAATTTAAAAAAATGTGCAACAGGACATACATTGGGACCATTGTTTTTGTTTACATGCCTCAAAATGCTCCATCGTGTTTGCCATCAGCGATTGTTTTACATCACTCAACAGAGAGGCATGTGAATAGCTGAAGTGACTCTTTGTTCCAGGTTGTAATTCAGGTTTTTCTCTCTCACAGGGATATTAAGATTAAGCCATTCATTCATAAAGGGAATTTCCTTGTCGTTTTAATGTACTTACGTGAGCTACAAGAGAGACGTCGATGTTTTTTTGGAGTGAAAATTATATATATATATAACGTTAAACCTCGCGTTTTCTCCGTTTACGCTGCGTAAAATGAGGATTTCTTGGACTTTAAACAAACACTGATACTGATAGGGTTTAAGGTTTACATTAATATGTGAATAAAAGTGAGAAATAACCTTAAACTCGACCTCGTGTCGTCAATCTTGAAGAAAACACCTGCTAGTCTGTTGATATACACGGTCACGTGATCGACGTTTTGAATATTATGGTAATAATATATATTTATATATAATTACGCATTAAATGACTAAATAGAAAGAAAAACTCCCTACAACAATAAAAGAAGGTAAGATTTTTGATAAATAAAGAAAACAAATAAATAAATAAGTACCAACAAACTGTTGCCAAAATGCTGAATACCGGTTGGTCAGTTATTACAAGCAACCAAGTAAATAATAATAAAACAACTCTTATAGATCGTATGGTGCAGAAAATATCTATTTAAGTTAATAAATTAATAATTAATTACTAAATAAATAAATAAAAAATCCCCACAAAATTGTTACCAGAACACAAAATGCTGTATGTTCATATTAAAAAACAGCAACATTAACAACAAAACATTAGAGAAAGATTGTGTTGTTTCTCAATGGCTAAATATTCATATATTGATATACACTCTGAAATATTACCTTTTGGTGACAAAAAAAATAAGCTTTTTAGCCTTTGGGTAAATAAACAACCTGAACAAGTACCCCTAGAACACTGTCTATATCTTCAGCTTATTACAAAAACAAATACATGAATAAAGTTATGTAACCCTTTGAGAACCAACAAACAACGTTCCCAAAGCACTGTCTATATGTTATTAGCAAAAACATACATAATATATATATATATATATATATATATATATATATATATATATATATATATATATATATATATATATATATATATATATATATATATATATATATATATTCATACATTTAAATAAAAAATATGATCAATTTATTATTATTTTTATTAAATATAAATAATTAAATAAAACAATTTAATAATATATTTATTTTTTGTTCGATGGACCCCAGAAAGAATACTTTGGTAGTGGCTGATGGGGGTCCTGATAAATAAATAAATAATATTAATAATAATAAAAATACATATAAACATATTAAACATATATAAATAAAATAATCAATTAATTTATTGTTATTCTCAATAACAATAATAGAAATAAATTAAATAATCAATTAATTTATTAATAATGATAAATATAAGAAATAATAAGAAGCAAGAATAATAATAATAATAATAATAAAAAAAAGAAATTATAAAAATAAAATTATAAAAAGAAGAAGAAGATTTACATCTAAAAATGAACTTAAATATTATGACATAATTTTGGGAAAGTCAATTAATCATAAAAAATATGTATATAATAAAATAAAACTTTTTCATACATTTCTGCATATATATATATATATATATATATTTATATATATATATATATATATATATATATATATATATATATATATATATATATATATATATATATATACATACACACACACACACACATTTAGTCAATTCTACTAATTTTGAAACTCGGGATTTCAGAAACAAATGAAAATACATACAATCCACATCCTCATTTCACTGAAGCACAAACATTACAGTCTTGATGACAGTGTTGAAGAGTCTTGCGCAAACTGTAGCTCGAGTCACACATTTCAGCAATTGCCTTTAAGCAATCACACACAGTCACTTCAGCGATCACTATCTGTGTCTGGTTTCCAGCAGACTTTCACTTTGATTCAAACCTAAATTTACAGTTACAACATCTGCTTTACAGGCAAGGTCACAAGAAGGTTGCTGGTTCGAGTACCTGCAGGGTCAGTTGGCATTTCTGTGTGGAGTTTGGATGTTCTCCCCGTGTTGGTGTGGGTTTCCCCCGGGTGCTCCGGTTTACCCCACAGTCTAAACACATGTGCTACAGGTGATTTAGATTAACTAAATTAGCCGTAGAATGTGAGTGTGTTTGGGGGTTTCCCAGTACTGGGTTGCAGCTGGAAGGGCATGGTAAAACATATATATAGAATTAGTTGGTGGTTCATTCCGCTGTGGCGACCCCAATTTACACTCAACTCAAGCATAGTCAAGTGATGAAAAAAATCTAGATTTTTTATATAAATTCATTCAATTCACAAGGAGACAGAAGGTCCTAAAGGCGCAGCTCAAATTTTATTAATGAATTC